ATGAAACAGAGCGTCTGTACAGAGTTCACTGAATCTAGGCAAGATAACTCGGACCGCAATATCTGTTCCTAACAGTGGTGCCATCTTTGTCATGAGCTGCAAAAAATAAATGTGCTGAATTCAAAAGATCCTGGAGCGATGGAGTTTGTTTGGAAGAAGTGGTGTCCATCAAATTATCTAAGGATTTACATATAGTGAAAAGTTAGTTTTAAGTTCTTGAGCACCAAAGGGTTTTTGCATACAAGCTACAAGCACATTCTCAAAATCTTGGATCGAAACTATAATTGTAGCAATAAGGAGTCTTATAATTTGAAGGGTTAACCACACATCTGGTGTTCTACTATACACAATGTAGCCGTCTTGCTGGAAAGGGTTGGCAAAAACTTAGTTCCAAACACAATGTTAAGGCCATAGTACTATAGTTTCTAATGAATAGAACAATATTAAATCACTTGGTATTACCGGTATACCTAATACAGTACATTAGCTTTTCGCATTGTCCAAACATTAAGTATAACACTATGAGCAACATTCGTACAAAACTGTGCTGACTTGTCCTGTTATTTGATATTTCATTGTATATAGAATAACACTAGTTTCATGGCATGTTCAAAGCAAACAACATTCATAACACTGGGGTACAATGAAAATAATCATGATAACTTGGATAATGGGTGTATAGAAGCCTGACTGTGCTTACCATGGCAACGTAATTGGTGAACAATGTCACACATGGCAATAATCCCAACCACTTGGTATTGTGTAGTGACGTGTTCTGGAATCCCGAGAGCATATAGCAGGCTTCTTAACTCATCCCTCTATATGGCTCTCAAGAGAACAGACCAGGTCCTAGTGAAATCTTCTCAACATTAATGAAACATACAATGCATATCACAATTACACAAATGATGGCAGTAGAAATGTATTGGATTAAAAAAAGGGAAGAAGCAAGAAATTATTTAACTAAAAATAAATTTTAACTACCAAAATATACATGGGGAAAATGCTGGTGTAAGTGGGCAGGTGTCAGATATGTTAACACTGCAGAACCAGGACTAGTTTCAACTGTAAATACAAATCTGTGAATAAAATTGAACTACTCGATTTAACTATCAAAAAAAGAAAGACACTGTATGGAGAAAATAAGCAAGTGCAGATTTTCAACTTTTTGTTTTTTTTCTACATGGGATTTGAGACCCAATTACAAATTTCATAGTTTGAACTTTGAGATGTTGAAATGTTAGTTTTTGTCTCTGGGGTGCATAAGGAGAAATAGAACGCTTTTGTCCTCCATATGGCACTCAAGAGACAAAAACAGACTTATCTGGTGAGAATCACAATGCTCACTGCCCCAACTTTGACCTCCTACAAACAGTTACCAACATAAAAAGTTGCAGTCAAGTGATTCCTTTTGAAGAGATAACCTTAAAATAATGAACGTGAATAGAAACAAGAGTGGTGCTTGCGCAGAGGAGAGGACAGGATGTGATATAGACTGCCGAAGCCGATTCTGTATACAATTTCAACTTTAAATAGGTCAGACCATGTAGAACAAATGAAACCAGGAAGGTCAGTCAGTAAATGGAAACAAAACAAGACATCTTGAGGCCACAAGAAGGCCATTTTGAACATCAATTCCTTCCATATGGCTCTCAAGAGATCCTGTCATGTTCACTGGTGAATACTAATTTCAGTAAAATTGGTAAAACGTTGCAGAGACTTCAAATATCCACTATGGCTGTCAGCATTCTTTTATGTATGGCAGGTCAAATGTCAAATCTGTGTCACATGACTAAGCAACAGCTGGTAATGCCCTCCACTATAGAGTGATCCTTACACAAGCTGTGGCAATCTGCATAGGAAAATAAGTCTTCACTGGCACGATATTAATTTCACATCCAATAATATAATCAATTATTTTAAACTTATATTATTATTATTAGATGTAAACAGAGAACAAAATAATTTTGGATGTTTTATGTTGTAACAATAGAATGTAGAGTTGTTGGGCATTCATGTATATCACCTGTAACAAATAATTTAGACAACAGTTTGCCAATCATAGTATAATTACTTGATGCCAGTAATAAATAATACTGGAAAATATTGGCAAGCTGCGCATATACAATTAAACAATATCCTTGAACAAGTGTTCATATTGCATTTTTATAAAGTATACAACAAAATAATTTCTCATTGAAAGACTAATGATAGGCATCATAGATTTTGTTTGGTTTATTTTTGGCAATAAATATACCTTTCCCAATAATGTTTTGATTTACTGATTTCAATGGGTATTTGTATATTTGCAGTGACCTAAAAATATGACCTTTTTAGGACAGCTGACATTGCCATTGAGGGCGTACTTATTGAAAGTCATTGTCAACGACATTAGTGTCCCAGTATTGAATTTGGCTGACAAAAAAAACACCCAAATTCCTGAAAAGTTCAGTAACATAGCACACAAAATAATAAATGTCTAAAACTTTGAAATAAATTTCAAGTGGGTCCAAAAGTACAATTAATGAATTTCCCAGGTCATTCAACATACCGGTACTTCAGAAAATGGCTTTATGCATTTTACTCTTGAAATAAAACATACACACATCAGGTGTGCAATCAACTAAGCCCAGACATGTTTAAAACATGAACAAATCTGAAAGAGCAGAACTCTATGAGGGGTGTGCTGTAACCCTCTCCATTTTTTCCCCCCAATGGAACACCAGATTTCTGCTCAGGAAAATAGCATTAATTTTCATAGCAATATGTTAACCAGCCGAATCAATCTAATGGTTTCCCATAACCTTATTGCATTGTGGAATATATTAATCAGTATTGATTGATTTTTTTAATACAACAATGTCAATTACAAGTCCTTGTCAAGTTTTTAGTGACTGTCAATATTAGTGCCAAATAATTATTTATACTTGTGTGACAGACATGAAACAAAGTGGAGCCAGTTTATTTGTGTGATTCAGATTCCTTCCTTTAATCTGCCCATGACATTCATATCATAAATTATTTGTAGTATGAAAATGACTATCAGTCACCTTGAATCAGATTCTGAAACTAGATGCATGTGCAAATGTTGTACATGATCAGCCCCAGCCCCAGCCATGTTAGCAATATGGCTTCAAAAACAGCAAATATAAAACTAAAATAAATGACAAAAATATTCATTTTAACTGAAATGGCAGAAATACTTCAGCATTCAGTACCAAAATGGCCAATTGGTCATCTTAAAATGGTTCATGAAACAAATGTATGTGCATACATGTATGAAATGATGTATATGTGAAATTTTAATAAAACAAGCCATACATGACACAGTCCCTGGTAGTTATCAAATTTAAGATGTATAGTTTTGTTCATAGTAATATAGCTGGAATATAACCATGTCAGGAATATGATTTTTTAACATTAAAATGATTGACATTTGTATCTGATCGTCAAACAAGTACTTGTCTATATTGAGAGATACAGTACAGTTCTCACGGAAGCTTTGGCTTCACTTCAGCTTCACCTTCGCTTCAGCATCGCATCATTATGGCATTGTTATGGCTTCAGCATCGCTTCAATGTTGCGACATTAAAAAGTTAGGTGGTTATCGCTTCGCTTCGTTGTGGCCTCATTATGGCGACAATGTGGCATCAGCATCGCTTCATCAAACAATTAAGTACTGTACTCATTTCCCCAAAACCTCTTGACCGCTTCCGCTTTTGACCGGTCAATTTCAGTTTTATTTTCGACCGTGCAACAATTCGGACTACTAATTTTCTGGTTTTCATAGATCACGGCACCGGGTGTTGAGGAACGGTGATCACGGTTACTAGTTTAGTAACCGTGCATAGATGTTGAACAACCGTCAAAAGTTCAAATACTTTTTGTTTTAATTATCTATAATTGTATGCACGCAATCTGACCCTTTGACCTAGATTTGGCTGGGATTGAATATTTTATTTTAGACAATATTCCGACGTGACGCACTGCTACAAAATGTATTCAACAGAAGTACAACATGGTTGTCTGGGTTTCTTTACCTGATTGTGTTGAGTTTACGATTTGTATAA